AAACAAAGCAACTGTAAGTGTGATTTGCTACCGAACTTTGTGTTCGCCGAAACACTGGGGTTTGAAGTACCGCTACACCAGTGTGTTATTCGTTCTATCCTGGGAGGAAATAATCCATTACCTTGGGTACTAGGAGGGGATTAAATTCCTTAAGGAAACACTGTGAATTCAGTGGGCTCGAATTTATTATTATTGTTTCATTACGTTAACTTATATTTTGCAGAATTAATATTTACAAATACAGCAATATTGACCGGGAATAACAATTGTATCACTTAACTAACTATGCTTAATCAATGTATATTTTTACCTTAATATAGTAGCGCTTACAAATGTCTTTTTCTGTATTGTCTGGGATGAGTGCCACTTTTTTGAATACTAATGCTCAACTTTATTTACTTGATTTAATGGATTGTTAGATTGCGTTAAATTGTAATCTTTTGTATGACAACTACCTCATTAAATCTTTGACATCTCAGAATTTGTTCTTGATTGCTCCTGCGTAAGATAGTCATGAAATATATAACATTTTGACACATTGTTATCACGAAAATCCTTATCTTAATTCACGAATTAAACAAGAGAGAAATTAAGGATATGCATGCTAGGTACAACACATCTTTCATTCACACATGTAAATTTTCGTGAAAAATGTATTACCTATGAAAATCACTTCATATTTCTTTTTCCTCTGCTACTATAAGACAATCAAACATTGTTTTTTCTTCTTCTTTTTCTATAGGAAACACTCAACAAACAAAAGTTACTCTACTTGACAGTTCAACATTGATGGATCAACTGCAGTAGGAAGAGTTCAAAAGTCTTACAATTTCCAATTTCTGACAGTAACATGTGTAAATTTATATCCTTTTTTCTAGAATTGCATATCTAACTAGGATAATTTACAAAAGAAATACGACTAGAAAATTTCTTGTAAATTTGCCTTACATCAATAGAAAAAAATGAAATCAGCTGCCTTATATGTGTAATCTTTTAACCAACCTGTGATTCTCGAATGCTAAGACGCGAAAAGATGAGGAAACCATGACTCCCTCAGTATTTCTTCATATGTACTGTCCTCAAACAACCAAAGCTAAGAGAAAGCTGCTATTTTCCTACAACACCTACGTTGTTTCCTGGGGATCTAACAGTTGGCATATGAAATTTCTCAAACCGCGGTTCAGTTAAATCCACTGCTTCATCATCTTGCAAGCTCCAACTTCGGGAATTTGAGCTCTGGCGAAGTAGTTTCTCTACATATGCAGCAGGAATAACATGCTCTTTCTGATCACTAGTTTCACCACAATGATTGAACTCACAATGTGGCGACAACAAATAGTGAGCTGAGCGATTCTCAGACGTGATCTGCTTGATCTCCTCAGCTTCAACAAAGCCGGGACTTTCTCCATAAGTACTCTTGCCATCATAACTAAACGAGCCCTATATAATGTATAAAGCGCGTTAGCAGATCTGTCAGTGTTATGCAATATCTATTACATATCAAAACATCTACTTATGGGATCTACTTATAAGTTCTGTGCGTTTGGATTATATTAACACAAAAACACGATTTTAAAACCATGTAACAAGATGACAAAGATGAGGATAAGTAATGCTGAAAGAGCTAAGTAAAACAAGAAGATGATGACAAGTAATGCTCAAAGAGTTGGTCCAAACAAGAACTACAATGACAAAGGAAATCAGCTGCACTGAGAAAAGGAAATTTAGAATTGTTTCAAGTGCCACCTAAGTGGTCTTTCCAGGGGAAATAATATTTTAATTCCCAACTTTTCAGAAAAGACAATAATTTCATTGCATTTTAAGATCGTCTCTTACAAAGATTTTCCTGTGTTTAGAATGGTTAAATTCAGCTACAAGATGTCTATTTTAAATCAGACTGTATATGTAATTTGGCATATAACACCTAGTAAGTTTACCCCTTTTAGAAGTTTATAATATGGGGTTACAAATAATTGGTAATGTTTATCTGTTTGTCAAATCAGCGGATGACAGCTTTGAAACTTAAATTGGCAAATGAAAATATGGGTAGATTGGCAAAAGAAAACCAAAATAAGTTTAATCGGATACCTTGAACTCATCTCTCGAGAAGTGTTTCCTTTTAGATGTTTCTGGGGCAATAGTTGACAAAATTTGAACAACCTCACTCATCGTTGGCCGAGAATCTGGGTCCAATAGAAGACACTCCTTAGCCAAGTAAGCCATTACCTGCATCTCCTCTTCTTCAAATTCTCCTTTCAAATTTGGGTCTGGCAACTCTAAGACCACACGCCTACTGTCTAGCAGACGAGGGGTTGCCTATATTATAGATGAAAATTAGTATTCGTCATTATCTTTTTGCTATTATTTGGGGTTAAGCTTTGAGAGAGGACTAAGGTTTCCCAAAATCTGAGGACATAATTCTATCCAATTCAATGCTGCTCTTCCCAGAAAAGTAAGCAAAAATGCTAAGCGAAATGGAGGGAGGGGGAGAAACATTTTATTAACTTTTCATACCCATATCACGAGGCTCTCTTCTGCTTTATTAGCTGACTTATGTATTGGTTTTCGTCCAGTTATCAGTTCAAGGAGCACAACCCCAAAACTGAAAACATCTGACTTCAAAGAAGCTCTTCCAACTATTGCATATTCAGGTGCAAAATAGCCAAATGTGCCCTGCATCCGAGCAGGAGAACTGGAACCGCTAGGAATACCATCATTTTGAAGGTGTTTTGCCATGCCAAGATCAGTAATCTGAATGCATATAGCGGTAATCAAAAACAAAGTGGGATATTACGTGATGAAAGTTACGGAAACGAAATGATTTGCAATTTGAAGTAGTATTTATTAAGTCCGGCAATACTAAAAAGATTGTACTCTAGAATCAGCATGCAAAAGGCAACCACTAATAATGGCTAAAGAAAAATGCAATCAATTAAACTCAGCTGCTGCATTGAAAAAGAATTGAAGCTAACACCTCAGTATTTCCTTGGTAAGTGGAAACTGGGTCACAGGCTCACAGCTAGCCTTTTTCCGGCTTATTGATCAATGTAACAGATTTTCCCTTTTATTATTTTATTAGGACCTTGGTTTAAACTTACCTTTGCTCTATAGTTCTCATCCAATAGAACATTAGTGGATTTAACATCTCGGTGTAAAATTCTTGGTGCAGCTGCTTCATGGAGATACTCCAAGCCACGTGCAGCTCCAAAAGCAACAGCGACCCGTGTACTCCAATTGAGGTGTCTCCCTGATGCTCCATCCAGACAATCTCTCAGATTGCCATTTGCCATGAACTCGAAAATAAGTAGCCTCTCAGCATGTTTCCCATGGTGTTCAGAGCAGTATCCAAGCAATGGAACCACATGACAATGATGAAGTCTTGATATGAGTTCTATCTGGCAAATGAAAAGATTTTTAAATAACTTTTTCATTCTGTAGTTGCATGTGTTGAAAGGTTCTCAAAGTAGCATGTTTAAAATATCAATTGAATGATCCTTTGAGGTGTTACCTCCGTCAAGAAAGCAGAGTCAGTGTCCTGTCCTGCCTGAGTTTTTATTCGCTTAATTGCAACAGTTCTTCCAGTTCTGAGATAACCACGGTACACATGGCTGCTTCCTCCCACCCCGATCAAATTGGAATCAGAGAACTTATTTGTTGCGGTCTCTAAGTCAGCATAAGAAAATTGAATAATCGTCCCATAAAATACTCCGGACTTTCTTTTGAACAGAATAGATGCTTTGGGAACACAACCTACACGATAAAGTTCAAAGAGAAATTAACCCATTTCTTGACATCAGGAAGCTCATACCACCTATTAAAAGCACACTTAAATGTTTTTTCAGAAAAGTGAATCCCTTGAAAATTAATCCTACACACAAAGTGATACAATATAAACATCTGCAGTTTCAATTCAAGGTCCCTCTCGAATCATTTAAGGAAAGCCAGGTTTACCTGTAACACAGTTGGAGGAACCAATGTATTGTCCATGTTCTGCAATTGAAGTTCCTTGGCTTAGTATTAAGTTGGTAGCACTGTTGTAACTTGTTTCTTTGTCTGATGAAAATAGAGGTCGTTGAATAGAATATTTATCCTTTCTATAGACATAGCACAGCATCAAAACAATAAATCCAAGCATAATGACGGTTGCACATAGTACGAGAATGACCAAAATGACCTTGCTCGATATCCTCTTCTTTGGTGACTGCTTTTCAAGTTGAGTTCCTGTTCAGAAGCAAACACATAATTAATCAACTATTTGAACCTGCAAGCGAAGCTAAATTTAATTGATGATTGTAAACAGATTCGCAATCAAGGATAAAGAATCAGCAAAAACTAGCGTGTGGAGAACTAGGACAAAAGCAGATAATTATGTATGCAGTTTCTAAAGCAACAGACATTTGATTGAACTATTTCAAAGATCAGTACAAGCAGAAAAATACCATAATGGCAATCACAGGCTGTAAAACAGCTGCTATAACTATTAGCAGCAGCCACTCTAGGTAAACCATCAGCTGCACATATGCATATCCATCTGTTCTTGCTTGATTTGTCTGCTGAAATGCATAAGACCAAATCAGTGCATACTGAGCTTTTCTATTATTTTATGATACTGCATATGACAAGATCAACATGGAACAAGAAGAAGAGTTTTGTCAAGTTTTTAAAAGAAAAGCAATAAAACATACAGTTGAGGACTGCTCAATCCCAGAGGAAAGCTTATTCATGAGACAACAACAACAACAAACCCAGTTTGATCCCATAAATGGGGTCTGGGGAGGGTAGTGTGTACGCAGACCTTACCCCTACCTCATAGAGATAAAGAGGTTGTTTCCAATAGACCCTCGTCATGAGAGCTTGTTCGAAACAATTTTTTAAACCAAATGCTCCTCGTGTCTTTGGAACTGAATTCTTCTTATCAAATTCGAAGTACCAATGGCGTTCTATCGTGTTTTAGAAGCATTAGTCGGCAATTAGCTTTAGAAAAGAGAGCTATTTTCCAGCTTACAACCACAGAGCAAAGAGCAATGCATGTGCAAAAATCAGCAATAATGATTATATGAGCAGTATACTTCCTATACTTCTCCAATCTTACACCACTGTTGATAACATCCAGAAGCAATTAGCTCCATGTTAGTTCGTGAGGATGACATTATGATATTACATGCTTTAAGTAGTATTAGCAGCAACCCAAACACTAGCCATTGCCATACAGCAGCAAAGAGCTCACAAAAACAGGGGAAAGAAAAACATACCAAGAGTGCAATCACAGGATGATGAACAGTTTTCAGGAACAACAGAACTCTGGTTGGCGAGACAGCTGCAGGTCCATTTACTTGTTACTGATGCATTTCGTCCTTCATCTGATAAAGAGATAGATGAAGTTTCAATTTTCTGCACGTACATGTCAAAGGGAATTTATGTTGTCTCATTGCGTGAAACACTCCAATAAAAAATGTAAACTATCATCATCTCTTGTTAACCAGAGCTAGAGAACTCCTTATTGTTTATACAAGTTGGACTCAGCTAGAAGTGAATTAAATAGAACATCCAGAAAAGGGAAAGGCTGCTCTGATCTGCAGTCTCTGGACACTCACGCAAGGAAATGGAAAGAAGAGACCGCAATACTTTTTTTTGAGAATGGTAACATTTAGAGGAGACCGAAATACTCCCAACAAGAACACTCACCGCCAGCAATTTGCTGTATCCAGACCAAGCTAATGAGGAAGGCAATTGCAGCTTCCTTTCCAAACCTCATTTCTTGTTGACAAATCTCTGAGCTAAAATGCCAAGAATGAAAGACAAAATAGAGGAAAAAGTTTTAAAAAGCCACGGACATTAAATTCCAGAATAAGCACCATTGGAGTTCTACAAACTAAGAAACAGTCAGTCTTAATGAGACTGGCAACAGCACAAGTACAAGAAAGATGCATGCAATTCAAAATACAGAAGTGGGTTTCTGGGAGAACTAACTACTTTTGAATGGGATAGAACTTCTAAACTGTTTCTTCAGAATTTTATGATAACATAAAGTTGAATAAAAAGATTACTTTAGTATGTGTACAACTTAAAGATAGCAAATTATATCTCTTTATGTATCCTTCAAACCATCAAAACCAGTTGAGATGCTAAGACCGAAGCAAAGGAAATACATGATACAAATTAACATAAATCCTAGTTGACTTGTAGTCTTCGATGTTAGTTGTGCTGCATATTCTTCAAAGTTCAAACCATCAATTCTTGAGATGTTTGATAGCATATTCACTAAGTGAACTTGAATTAAATCAACATAAGTTTCTCAAAACAGTTTCATAAAAGCTTTTGGTAACAATTAAAATATTTTAAAAATAATGAAGAAAGAGAGATCTTACCAAAGAGTAGTTCATTCATGAAATCTTCATCTCAAGGACCATTCTGCAGGAAGGTGATGCCAAACCATTACATTGTATAACAATTACTCAACATAATCCAACTAAGAACATTATAAGAGCACATCATGACACTATCCAAGGTCATCTACAAATAATTATTCTGGTACAAAGAGAAAAGACAGGGGGATTAGAAGATTTCATGTCATCCACAAATTGTCCAGTGCAAGAAGAAAAGACAAAATGAGCAACCTGGAAAACAATTTCAGATTTTCACTTTCCAAGTGTCAGGGAAGGGTTATTCTATTGGTCTAACATGACAATTAAAATTATAATAATCATAAATAAGGGAGCAGGAAGAGAGTAATGAATAATTTGATAGATAGGACTAAATAGACAGTAGGCCAACAAATGTTAGTAGGTTTGAACTTCTCTAGGTGTACATTTTGAACACTTCTGCAACATAAATATCACGAACAGTTGTTGTCAATTTTTCTTTTTCGCTTTTCTTTCAAAAATATGGAATCTTGATCACGTCAATTGACAACCCCCTAATAGAAACTAGTAAATTATGATTAATAAAGCCGAATAGATACTAAGCTTGAGAGAAAGTAATGATCAACTAAAAGGTTTAAATGCAGTGTTCAAAGAACTTGCACGTGCCAACCATCTAACATTTGACACAGTAGTTACATCAGACAATTAAGATGACACTCAGTCTTTAACATTTGGCAGGAAAAATACAATTTTGTATGCACAAGCTAGAAGCATAAAACCAAGACAATCCCAGTTAAGACAGCAATCAACATATATATCCTACCACGTTTCTTGGATTGCGCCCAGCAGAGAACTGAAGCAAGGTAACATGCAGAGGCAGCCACGTGCTCTACTTGTTTCAGATGGGTCAATTTTGTGATCAAAGCAAAAATGTTACACCTAGAGAGCAAGAAAGTCTCATCTTTACCACTTACTCATTAGCTGAAAACTGCAGCACACCTAGAGAGTATCACAACTATGCTTATACTCACATATAAGGTAGACCCATCAAAGATTTAAGAATAGAAAGGCCAAAAAGATAATCAAAAACAGTCATCTGACAGCAGACACCTAAAGATAAGGACATTTGGTTTTCTATATCTTACATCCACAAAACAACATTTCTAGAAAAAATTATATGATAGCTAAAGGTCCGTTAGATAGAAAAATATAAGTTACAAGGCTTAAAACCAAACTCCATGAAAGCAACCCAATTTCAAATCAGAAAGAGACTTGTCAACAATCAAAGCAGTATAAATTACTAACCAGTATGGCAGTATCAAATACATTATTAAATACAGTAAAAAACTAATTATGGGGTGTATCTAATCAGTTTCACAAGCCGTTAACTTTATACATTTTAGACCCTTATGTATGCTACAAATAGTAAAGTCTTACCAAATCTTTGGAAAGTCCTACTATGGTACGTGTATGCCAACGGTTAGAATAGACTTTGCTTCCAAGACATATTTTGGGGTTTGATAGAAACTAAAAAGCTGTGTGGCCTTGGCCTGGCCTGAATGGCCTGCGCCATCAACTAGCAAGAGAGTACTTTGTATTACTCCACTGTGGACTTTCTTGAGAGTGATGTTTCTTGAAAAAAGACGTGCACAAAACAAATTTTTTATTCAGGGGAGACCCACAAAATTAGTGTCGGTTGTCGGGTAAAGACTAAAGAGATATAGAAATTGGCAAAAGGTCCATGAAATCTATGATGCCTTTCTTGGTTAATTACCAATTTTTTGATTCTCATAAGAGGGAAATAACGAAAATTTAACTTAAAGTTTTTCGAAGATATTAGTACCTTTCTGTATTCAAGTGATTTCGATTTTCGCTTAGCAAAAGGTGTGACACTGTATGCTTCTCAGAGTCCACTGTGTTACAAAGCAAACAAGCAAAGGTATATTTAGAGCCCGTTTGGACATAAGAATTTTTTATTTTTTCCAAAATATTTTCACTTTTTTTAGATTTCTAATTTTCACTTGAAAATAAATTTTAGAATTTTTTAAAAATTTGAAAAACTCCAGAAAATAACCCAACATTATATTCATGTCCAAATACAACTCTAATTTTCAAATATCATTTTCACTATCCAAACGCCCACTTAAATATGCAGAAATTTATATTTGAGTGATGGATTTACTCACAATAAAGTTAAATCCAAAACTAATTAGACCAAATTTTCATAATTGAGAAGAAATGAGCATATAAATTCCAGGCAGCAATGTTATTCATTTTTCATTATAAGAAAATAAAGGAAATGTACAAAAACAGATACGTACAGAAAACTAGAAGTTGAGCAATTTGGTCAAAAGAAACTCTTTAAGTTGGATGTAATGATGGGAGAAGAGCCAGCTAGAGGTGTGACACTACCGAATCATGAGGGCAGAAATACATTTAATACACCACATCATTTTATTCTATAGGTTGAGGATTCAAAGTTTTAATCACTTAACCTAATAGCTTATTTGAGTTCCGTGTTCATAGTTTAATATTTTTAGCAACGTAAATGGTTTTACACACTAAAAGTGGGGTTGGTGGAAATATTTTAAAAAATTGTAAAAATATTTATACTAATTTTGAAAGATGTTTGACACAATGATCTTGTTATTACTGACTTGAAATCCTGAATAATAGCTCTTTAACATAAACGTGAATGTTGGCTCCATCAGTAATGAGGAATTGATTCTTTACTAAAAATATAAAGGTTTTTCCTTTGAATTTTCAAATGGAGAGAGTGATATCAAAATTCAAAAGTCACGTCGAATGGCAAAGTAGCATTTAATTTGGCATACCTTTTCGATAGGTCCACAAATGAACAACTTTAAATCCTCTATTTTCAAACACTCAATGAAAGCGAACTTATCACTAATTTAATATCCATGATTAATTTTAAACACTAATAATGCAACAAGCAAATATAAAAAACTGTCCTTTTATTTTTCTATTTTTCTCATCCTTCTATTGTGTACCGACACAGTTCAGTTACTGGAGTCAAATCACTCGAAAAAGTCAAGTTCGACGACATACCTATGAAGTCCTCCGGCGAAGGCGAAGGCGACGGCAACTCTGAACTATACTGAAACTACGCTAGTTAGTAGTACTACTAGTGGTAGTGGCGGAAATCGGAGAAGCAGCCGGCAATGCCACGTGTCCAGTGGCTACGCTCCGAGAACTCAGCTGCCGGAAATGTCACGTGTAATCATCCGCCGTAATTCACCGGAGAATCTGCCGGAAAAAAATGTGAATTGAAAGATTCCGACGGCGAGGTGAGAAAAAATTGGCAGTGCTACGGGGACTAGCAGAGTAGTAGTAAAAGCTACAGGTCAACGCACTGCACTAAAAAAACGTTCTATTTCATGTGTTCCTCCTGAGCTACTGCCACGTGGACAAGTGGGGCCCACTACTAGGATAAATAGAGAATAATGTTAGAAGATTTTTCACTTTTTATTTCGTCTCATAAGGGTAAGTGGGGCCCAGGGAGCCATATGGAAAATTGGTCTTCCCGATGTGGCAGCGCCATTTTTTTTTAACTGTTAACTGTGTTTTTGGCGCAATAATGGGCTATTAGCAGTTGCCACGTGGCTGCTTTGATGATTTTCTAGTTAATTATCAAAATTAGCGTAAAAAATAGCATTCAGAAATAGTGTTTTAAAATGCGTTTTTCGAGGCAAAGCGTAACAAAAACGGTCGGAGGCGATGGTGTGGGGCGAAAGTCTCAAGAGACGTACGCCCAGCAATTCGGGGCATATGTCCGGGCGTTTGAGGTGCGTTTTTATAGTGAGGCATAAACCCCATAGACTTTTTCAAATTAAAACAAAATTTGTTGAATAAGTCCTTTATATAATACCCAAATTCTCAGAAGTTAGCTTGTAATTACTCAAAAGTTTTAAAAGGGAAATGAAATGTATCAAATTTAAAAGTCAAGACCTTTTTATTGATTAAAGTCCTAATTTATGGTCTTTCTCAATTCTTTATCTTGTTCGCTAGTCTGCTAATATCTCCCAAAATAACGAATATTCAAATATTTTTACAAATACAAAGAGAATTTCATTCTCCTTCATAGCAGCAAGTTCAAATTTCAAATTGCAGGTTAGTCATCCTATTTGTTCCTTCATGTAGAAAATTTTATTCTTTTTGACTCAAGTTACTTGTACTTGTAAGTAGCGTATAATAAATTATTTTGACTAGTTATTTTACAGGAATGGAGCACATCTATATGTATATATTTTTTTCACATATTTATAATTTTCTTTAATTTTTATGCAATTTTACATGTTTATAAATATTTACTGTAATTATATTATTTTATAAAATATTAAAAATTAAATATCCACGGCCTTACGCCCACACTTTTAAAACACTGTTCAGAAATTACTATTCTTAGAGACAATTAATTAGCAAAAAGAAACTCCTTAATCTAGTGGAGTTTTACCAAACACCCTGTTATCTCGCTTTAGACGTAGCTTAATGAACTAATTGCAATACCATTAAAACCTTGCGATCCTATTTTTTAGTCTTCCTTTGACTCGATATCCATATTAGAGAAGACTTAGGAATATGATTTGCTTAACATCTTTTGGAAGAATAAGAATAGATCAATTGGTTTTTTGGCTCTTTACAAATTTAATTTTAGTTTTATGATCCTATTTTTTTTTATTTTTTTTTTTGCACATGGGAGATTTACTTTTATACATTAAAAAATCTATCTTTTACACATAAAAAATCTAAAAAAATTATTTTCTTAAATTCAAAATTGTAATGAGGCATGATAAACAAATAGCACGAATACGAAGGACACACTAATTCTTGTAATAATGGTTTCTTGTTAATTATCAAAATTAGTGTACAAATTATCATTTAGAAATTACTACTCTTGGAGCACTCAATGTATTAATGTTTGCACCAATCTGAATAATTAGCAAAATAGGAACTCCTTAATCTAAGTGAACTTCTTCACTATTATTTTTCTTTTTCAAATTTGCTGTGAATTACTTTTCTTGAAACAAGGATTTATCGGAAATCGCCTTTAACAGCCTCTCTATCTCTACAAAGTAAAATAAAATATGTGTACATATTACCTTTCCCAACCATACATTGTGAATTTTTTTTGGGTATGTTGTTGTTGTTATTGTTAATCTAAGTGAATTTTTACCAAACACCCGGTTATCTCTCTTTCCAGATGACCGTATTTCATTTTTGCAAAGGAAATATAGATCGTTCCTCTACATTTTTACGTGTCATTACAGAGTGTTCAATATTGTTTAATTTTATTTGTAAAATACTTATTTGATCTATGGGATTACTCATAATGTCCTCACCTAAATCTTATTTGAAACCTCTTTATTTAATTTATCATTTGGTGTTGTTTAGTGGATTTCAATGAAGTTTGGGTGGATTATATGAATCTTGCTATTCATTTCACTCAATTTGAGTTCTATTGAATCCAATATTAATTTTTTGTCTTCTTTAACAATAGAAATTCTTTATATGTTTTTTTACAAGCATACAAATCTAGAACAAGAATAAGAGGCTCCTAACAAGTATTGGACTTAATATAAACTTATCAACACGTCTTATAAGAGTTAATCTCAATTCCCAACTAGTTGATATCACTTGATTCCAAGAGATTCTAAGTATTCGGAAACAACTACTCGTGGAATTGTTTAGTGAATACAAAGTAAAATTTAGGTAATCAATCATAATCTTACACGGTAGATAGAAGAAACGAAAAAA